GTTTGAAGGCAGTAACCCTGCTGTGCATCTGTGGGCAGGACACTTTTGATGTGGCCAAAAATGTAGTAGCTCCTGTGCCGCTTGAGTCTGTCACGTACACAGACTTGAAGAATATGCTGAAGGACCATTTTCATCTAAAGCTATCTGTAATTGTGTGGAGGCATGCTTTTGAGCAGAGGGACCAGAAGCCTGGTGAGTCTGCTGCAGAATTCATCGCTGCCTTGAGACAAGCTGCCAGGCCTTGTGAGTTCAAGGACTTAGAAGAACACTTACGAGACTGTTTTGTCTGCGGCCTTAGAAGTAGAGAGCTGCAACAAAAAATCTTTGCTAAAGCTGAAGTCACATTCCAAGATGCCTTACGTGAAGTTGCAGCTGAAGAAGCAGCAGGCGGTGCTGTGAAGGCCTTGCGACTCACCAGAAGCAGTTGTGTCCGTCCATCAAGAGGTCGCTCAAGAAGTGCAGGATCCGGATCAAGAAGAAGAGGTGGACAGACTTCACCAGCCTGCAGTACAAAGGCCGCAAGAGAAGCCAGTCAAGACCCCGGCAGCCCTTCAGTGTCTCGGATGTGGAGGACGCCACAAGTGCTCAGACTGCCGGTTCCGCTCCGCCATTTGTCAGGCATGTGATAAGCAAGGCCACATTGCCATTGTCTGTTTGGTTCGCCAGCAGGTGCAACCTCGGGAAGAATTCCTTCAGAAAGGTACCAGGGTCCTCAGCCAACACAGGGTGGGTTTCTGCACATTGCGCAGAAGCATTTTGCGGACAGGGACATACAAGCCCCTTAAGAAGAAGCTTCGTGTTGATGTGAAGCTACAAGGGGTTCCCTTGTCGATGGAGCTGGACACTGAGTCCGCTCTATCGATCATTTCACACAATACCTTTAAAAGGATCTGCAGCATGTGGTCGCCTTAGAGTCAAACTCAGGCCATCAAACTTAATCCTCACAGATTTTCAAAATTCAAGGGTCAAAGTACTTGGAGAAGCTACACTCAAAGTGCACTGTAAGGCTTTCCAGGGTCTATTAGATGTGGTGGTTGTTGAGGGTGAGTGTACGAGTCTAATTGGACTTGAGTGGTTCAAGGCCTTAGGAATCCAAGTAAATGGCATAAATAGTCTGCATACTACAGGCCTTGCAGAAGTCTGCAATGAGTTTGCAAATGTGTTTAGCTCAGAGCTTGGGTCCTACAAGGGGCCTCCCATTTCCTTGCAATTAAACCCAGCCATCACACCCATTAGAATCAAGCCCAGGAGGGTGCCATTCTCCTTAAAGGGCAAGATCGATGCAGAGCTGGACAAGCTGCTCCAGCAGGGCATCTCGGCACCGGTGGACTCACGTCCATGGGAAACCCCCATTGTGATGCCTTTAAAGGCTAACGGGGAAGTCCGAATTTGTGTGGACTACAAATGTATCCTGAATACAGCTTTGCAACAACACGCATATTCTGTACTGGTAGTGAGTCAAAGGGGGTAAGCTGTTTGCAAAGCTTGATTTAGCACAGGCCTATCAACAGTTACCTGTTGACGAAGCAACTGTGGAGGCCCAAACAATAGTGACCTATAGGGGCGCTTTTAAGGTAAAGAGGTTACAATTTGGGGTGAATGTTGTTCCTGGTAAATTTCAGAGCGTCATGGAGTGCACACTCAGAGGAATGCCTATGGCTTGCCCCTACTTTGATGACGTCCTCATTACAGGGGAGTCATCACAAAATTTGGCAGAGAGGTTAAGGGCTGTATTATTGAGGTTCCGCCAAGCAGGCCTCAAATTGAAAAAAGACAAATGCAAGATTGGAGTCACTTACACAGAATTTTTAGGATTTAGAATAGATGCCCAAGGCATCCACCCTGCAGAATCCAAACTAAAGGCCATTCAGGAGGCCCCAAGTCCCAAGTCTAAAAGTGAGTTTCAGGCTTTCTTGGGACTCCTCAATTTCTATTATGCATTTCTTCCCCATAAGGCTGCAGTGGCTGAGCCATTACACTGGCTCTTAGATAAGCAAGCTCCATGGCAATGGACTAAAGTCCATGACAAGAGCTTTAATGAGGTCAAGGCCTTGCTCTCATCAAATGCCATATTAGCGCATTTTAATGAGCAACTGCCTGTGTGCATCGCATGTGATGCATCCCCTTATGGGGTGGGAGCAGTACTTAGTCTCCTGAAGGCTGATGGGACAAAGTCCCTATAGCCTACTATTCAAGGACTTTGTCATCTGCAGATTGACCAAGAGGCCTTGGCCATAGTGGCTGGTATAAAGAAATTTCATGATTTCTTATATGGCCACCATTTCACGGTCTATACAGACCATAAGCCATTGCTGGGTTTGTTTACTACTAACAAACAAACCCCACACATCATTTCCCCACTTATGCTGAGGTGGTCCATTTTCCTGTCAGCATATGACTACATGCTTATTCACAAACCTGGGAAAGAAATGGGCCACGCAGATGGCCTCAGTAGGCTACCTCTCACACAAATCAATGCAGATCCTGCCCCTGCTGTTAATATTCTCTTCATTCAGGAGCTGCCTGAATCTCCCCTTAATGCTAGGGACGTGGCTGCAGAAACTGCCAGTGATCACATGCTTACACATGTGCTGACATGGGTGTTGTCAGGATGGCCTGACACATGTCCCGATGCTGCGTTTCAAAGCTTCTGGCAAAGAAGACACGAACTGTCTACATTTAAGGGGTGCCTGTTGTGGGGTAGTAGAGTAGGTATCCCAGCCTCACTGAGGTCTAGAGTCTTGTCCTCTCTGCATGAGGGACATCCAGGTATTTTGCTCATGAAAGCACTTGCACATAGCCATTTTTGGTGGCCTGGGTGCACGGGTATCAGGTGTGCCAACAGTCATGGCCTGAAATGCCTTACGCCCCTTTACACAGGTGGGAGGAGACACAAACCCCTTGGTCAAGGGTACATTTAGATTATGCTGGGCCCTTTCAGGGGTAATTCTTCCTTATCCTAAGTGGCTAGAGGTTGTCCCTGTCTCCAGTCCCTAATACTGCTAGGACCATCCAGGTGTTGAGAGGAATTTTCACTACTCATGGACTTCCTGATGTCCTCGTATCTGACAATGGGCCTCAATTCACTTCTCTTGAGTTCCAGGCTTTCTTACAGGCCAACTTGATCAGGCATGCAACGTCAGACCCTTCCACCCTTCCACCAATGGGCAAGCAGAAAGGATGGTATGCACAACGAAGGATGCACTCAAAAGACACGTGCATGGTAGCTGGTATCACAGGTTAGCTGATTTCCTTCTTGCACACCGCACCACACCATGCACTGCCACAGGGAAGAGCCCAGCGGAACTTCGCTGGGGTCGCTGCTTCGTCACAAAGTTGGACGGACTGCACCCAGATCGGGTGGCTTCACAGGTGTCACAGCCACGGGCACCTAGGAGACTTCAGGTGGGCGATCTGATCTGGGCAAGAAACTACAGCCCGGGTCATCTTTGGGTCACTGCTGTTGTCTGCAAGGTCTCGGGGCCGCTATCATATGAAGTGACTTTGGGAGATAACCGTGTCCTTCAGCGCCACATTGACCAACTGCGTTGGCGGCTGTCCAACCACATCTCCGCTCCTGGCTCTGCTCTTGGGGGGGAGGGGGACCATGAACAAGCTCACACTTGAGGTCAAAATCCTGAGAAACAGCCTTACAGTGCCAGTGGATTTTCGCAGGTTGCTGTTCCTGTCCCAGTGGATGAGCAAGGGCATCCTCAAGGTTCAGCTATTGCTACGAACAGGGAGTCTACAGATCCGGGGCCGTCCCAGGGTTCTGCAAGTGCTCCAATCAGGAAGTCTCCTGAGAGGGGGTTTGCCATAGAGGCGGCTCCTGACTCTGGCACCTCAGCCACATACACGGGGGACTGGAACTACTGGGGCACTGCTGCAACGCAGGCCACTTCCGATGCTGGTCATGGGCTCAAGGGACAATGTTCCCAAGAGGAGTCCATTGGGGACTGGGAGAATTCCACTCCACCATTGGGCTTGGGGATTTCCACCCCTCTGAGGAAACCTGGCTGGGATTCAGAGGATCCAGCCAGTCAGCTGCGGAGTGGGTCACCTGGAATCCGAAGGAATCAAAGTCCTGGTCTATCAAGCCCACCAGATGGGCCGGCAGGCCAGGCACCATTAAGTAGAAGTCCTGGTCTGCCTTGCCTGGCAAGTGAGCTGGCAGACCAGGCACCCTCCCTGACCTTGCAAACGAATAAAGAAAGAACTTGGTTAACAACTTGTGTGTCGCTTCAATGCCACAAACCCCAATACGTAAAAGTATATATTTAAAAAATACCAAATAAGATTTAGTTTAATTGAATTTTTTGTAATATCCATACATAGTGTTGCAGATAAAGAAATAATCATTGCTTGTTTATCTAATTGTTGAGTACTTTTTAAAAATATTTTTTACCCTGACACATATGGTTTCTGCCATGTCCTACCAGCAATAATACTTTTCCCATCTATATTTAAAGGACTACATTTGGTCAGTGATTTGTGAAGACTTTTTTAATGTTTTATAAACTTTTTTTTATATAAAATATATGACTTGCGTATTCACTGTACTTTAATAATTCCAAAGTGGATTTATTATGAACTTGCATTTATAAGACACTGCCTATAGGGTTTTTTTCTGATATAATCCAATGGGTATTTTGTCAGGTTTTGTGGGGATAATAGATGATTTGGCAGACAGACTTCAGACTCTTCCATCTGTCTGGTATTCAGCAGACAAAACTGATGGGAAAAAGTTGCTAGGGAAAGTTACAAAACTGTGTGGAGGGGAACAAAAATTCTGAAACTTGCTTTTGTCTTGCCTTGAGTTTACCATGAATTGGGCCTCTGGTATAGCAAAGTACAAACCAGTAATAAACCAGGGCTCTAAGTTCAAGATTATAAAACCTGATAAAAACATATTATGGATTAATAAACTAACTTCAAGATATGGGTTTACAGATTGGTTGTTGCTAAATTTTTATAGGTGTGATGATATGGGCTAAAACATTCAAATTAAGCAAATTCTAGCTTACCATTATCTGAGAACTAAGCTGTTACAGAGCAGTCTGATATATACTGATGAGTACAAGTTGCCCACTATATCATTAGTCAGGATGAAGAAAAAGTTGCAATACATGAAAGCTTTTGCTTCTCTTTGTTTAACCTTACAGACAGCAAAGCAGGGAATTCCACAATATGGCAAGGTCTACATTATTTACTTGCTGTTGGCTTTTTCGGTGACAACATTTATAATGATTATTATTATTCTAATAATTCTTTCAATTAAGGTAAGCTAAAGTATTTTACTAGAGATCCTTATATTAATTTATTAATCCATTATCTCTCAAAGCCGAATAGTGAAAAAACAAACTTCTCCAACTCTCAATATATTGCTTTAGTGAAGAGTTAACATTTTCTTTTTATATACATATTTTATTAATTTTCTAATTTTACAATCATGACTACTTAATAAACAACGTGTTGTCTGGGTCCATTGGTAATTCAGTGGTACATACTAACTTTCTCAGTCTAGTTCTAATACTACACCATCCAGTGCTTCCTTGATCCTCTCTTCTTCTGGTGGTATGCATTTTTCCACATTGGGCAAATACAATTCTTGTTACTATTAATACATATACAATTAAATATAGACATCTTCATCACATTTTTCTGGTATTATACATAGTGTCAGTTTATAATCTCTTTTCTAGCCAGAACAGATCTCAACTGCATTTGCACTTAAAATCCATTTGGTCAATCAATATCCTGTTTTTCCCATATTTTTTTTTTTTAAATCCCATCTATGTTCAAAACATATTGCTTATAATTTTCTCATAATAAATTATATTTGGGTAACCAAAATCTTCCCTTATTCAACCCTTTTAGAATTTTCATATTTCCCATCTCATAACAAAATATAATATTCTAGTTACAAATTCTATCCTTCTAATTATATATATTTTTTGTATATATAGTTTGGAATGAGGAAGAAAATTTGATTGAAATATTTTTGGAAGAACACTCAACCCATTTATATTCATTAAACAGCCTCCATCCTTCTCCTTCAGTTTTTCTTTTCCTTTTTTGTTTGTCAGTATTCAGCATTTCTCCTAACAACTTTATAATCTATTCGATCAGCTCTTCTTCCTTATCCTCAAATGTGTTCTGAGATCTTGACAAGTAAGATATCTTTTCCATTACCGATTTTATCACTGCATCTTCTAATTTTTCATTTGTGTGTATCTGTCTGTTAATTCCTTCCTTCAGGTCCTCCATCTTTAGATCTGTTTCTTCTAATTTTCCTTCTGTTTTCTGAGTTACTAGTTCCTTCTTTGTAGTCATTGTCTGGATTTGTAAGTTTAGGTGAGAAAATTGTTCTTTTATCTCATTTGCATTATTTTTTAGTCTCATCATGAAATGAAACAATCGTCTCTTGGATTGATTTCAAATAGAAAGAATTTTTTTCTGAGATTCATTAACATTTTCTTGTTGGTATATCAAGCTGGGGGCTTCAGAGACAAGCATTAAAGATGTTTTTTTTACCATTTGAGGCCAAGTATGAAACACCCATTTTGTTTTTGTATGTAGTCTTTATAGTCCAACACAGATAAGCAGCCCAAGAGATTTTTTTCCTTTTCCCAGCTGCAGTCTGCAAAAGTGAAAGTTTTCAGGAACAACAGAGTCTTATCTAAGTCTGGGCTTCAAGCCAAGTTTCCTTTAAGCATAATAAATTGTAGTGCCGTGATTCGCCACTAGATGTCATTGACACCACCTTCCAGGTTTCCAAATCCAAGCCTATTTTGCAGACTTTCAAATATCTTTTCTTAAAAAAAAAAGTCTCAAAGGTATTTAGTCCCCAAATTTCAAAGCTTTATATCTGTATTATTTCCAAATTGAAATTGTAGTTTTCTCTATTTTTTCCCCAAAGCAATTAATTTGTTGCTTTTCTTTTCCTGATGGAGCGGGGCAAAAACTTCTCTTCCCTCTCTCATCAGGGAGGATTCTTGCTTTGGGCATTCTTTTTTCCAGGAAAGTAGTATTAAGGTCATAAAAAAAGGATAAAATCTCACCCAGTTCCATCCACATTGCTCAAAAATTGCTAGTTAGTGCTTATCTTCGGTTGTCAGGAGCTTCTGACTGGCCATACAAATATAGCCAGTCTTTCCCCTACCGCTTTGGAGGACTTCCTCAGATCCAGCAGAAGGGCTGTCCCTCCACAATTGACGAGGGTCCTCTTCTTCTTCATCGCCTCTCCAGGGTGACTTTTGACCCTTTTAGGGTCCCCAGCGGGGCGAAATTGAATGTGGAAGATGGAACCCCATCTTCCTGTGCCAGTCATACCGCAATGCCTAACTGGATGTCCCCCAGAGCTAACATTTCCTTAAACACTGAGTCAGGGAAACCACATTACTGCAGCCAGGATTTAATATTATATATTCAGCCTCAAAGAGCCACAGCAGATGTGGCAGTGATATAGCAACATCACAAAAAAGGGTGGCACTGATTCTTGAAAAATTATTGGTGAGAGGGGTCAAACAGAGATAACCAAATGGGTGTATTGAGTGGGATTCTTTCCACCTCCAGTGCTGATAGGGAACATCTGGCTGGTAGGCTTGATTTGGTCCATAAGACCTTCTTACAAGCTTTATCAAAACCAGGCTGAAGGCTGCAGACCTTTTCATACACAGAAGATGGAGAAAAGGAAGAGTTTCTCATTAAGAAACAAAGAAAGAAACATTGCTCTCTGTGCCAGTCGTTGATTCTTTTTCCTCACTGTGAAAAATCTTTACATTTATTCCTCATAACCACATCTCTCTTTTTGGATTAAACAGAGCCATTCCCATCAAACTGCCAAAGGAATGGAAGGGACTCCTCTGGAAAAACGGTAACTTTTGCCTGGAGATACTTAGTTATTTGCAACCCTCTATTCTGAAAAAAACCTCTTTATGAAAACACTGAGAATATGTCTGAATAATCTGTGTTTTTGCTGGCTGAATTTGTATGTATAGCATTGGCTTCCTGCTACATTCCCCAACTGGTCCCATATGTCCCCCTCTCCTCTTGGCAACTTTAAACTATTTTCAGTGCTGAACTAACGCTAAACTTGAGATTGCCAAGGTAAGCATGCATGCTAATAAAGCCAAAAATCCCCAAAGAAATACATGGTTACCTGAAACATGCACTCTTAAAACTTCGGAGACAATTGCCAGTGTGTGTTTCAGCATAAGAGGCAATTAAGCTTTCTATTACCTGCACACTGCTTCTACATGCACAGAAGTGTCTTGTGACTGAAAAGGCCTTTTGAGTCCATTTTGAGAAACAGAAATATATACCATGTTTCCCCAAAAATAAGATCGGGTCTTATATTACTTTTTGCTCCAAAAGAAGCATTAGGGCTCATTTTCTACTTAGATCTTATTTTGGGGAAAATATGGTAATAAATTTGTCCGTCTGGCTGATGATCTTAACTGGGGCTTATTTTAGGGAAACAGGGTATACATCTTTCATATAAATGATAAGAGTTTGTATTTCCAATACAGAAATGTATGCCACGTTTTGTTTGAATATTGTCAAAAGGGTTTTATTCAGGCTAAGATCTCACCATTTTTCTTTTTAATTGTTTGTTTAAGGACACTTCTCAATGGAATGGAGAGGGATACACTTGAAAAACAGGTGTGTAAATGCAGAAGCGACCACTGGTGATCTGCTACTTAGTTATTGGATCTGAAAAACATGGCCCCACAAGTATTATAGATGTGGCTTAGGCAAACCTGAATTTAATAATAATAATAATGATAATAATAATGATAATAATAACAATCTCTTTCCACCTGAGCAGAAAGGAAACCGCCCCAATAGCAGAGGAACAAAAGATCAACTCCTAATAGACAAAATGATCTTGGAAAACTGCAAGAGAAGGAAGACCAACCTGAATGTTGCATGGATTGACTACAAAAAGGCATTTGACTCTCTGCCACATGATTGGATAATCAAGTGCCTAGAAATAACAGGAGTCAGTAGAAACATCAGAAAATTTGTGCAAAGATCGATGGCACAATGGAAGACACAGTTGCAGATCAATGGTGAGAGGCTGGGAGAGGTTAATATCAAGAGAGGAATATTTCAAGGAGATTCATTATCACCATTACTATTTGTTATTGCACTGTTTCCTCTGTCAACAATACTGAATAACTCAGGACATGGCTATCAAACATCAAAAACATCTGCTAGACTATCCCACCTCCTTTACATGGATGATCTGAAGCTGTATGGAAAAACATCATCTGAAATAGAATCGCTGCTCAACACTGTCCGTATATATAGCCAAGATATTGTAATGGAGTTTGGCTTGGACAAATGTGCCACACTTACTATCAAACAAGGAAAAATAGTGAAAACTGAAGGAATCAAGATGCCCCACAAAAATAACATTAAGAGTCTGGATGAGGAAGAGTACTACAAATACTTGGGTATCCTTCAAGCTGACAACATCAAGCACACTGAAGTCAAGAAAAAGATTAGAAGTGAATACATCAAGAGAGTGAAGAAGATCTTAAAGTCCAAACTCAATGGAGGAAATACCATAAAGGCAATCAACACCTGGGCAATCCCAGTCATTAGGTACACAGCTGGAATAGTGGACTGGACTCAAGCAGAACTAAAAGCAATGGATAGGCAGACCAGAAAAATAATGACAATGAATCATGCCCTTCATCCACGCAGTGACATTGATAGACTTTATCTACCAAGGCAAATAGGTGGGCGTGGAATGCTACAAGTACATCAGATGGTTGAAGAAGAAAAAATGGCTTTGGAAGAATATCTGAAGAACAATGATGAAGATGCACTGAAATTAGTATATCAGGAAGGCTTACTAACTACTGGAGAGACCAAACTGGCCTACAAGAAAGACCAAATGAAGAACAGAATAGAGGCATGGGAAGACAAAGCACTACATGGCCAATACATGAAAAAAATAGCTGGGAAAGCAGATAATAATAAAACCTGGCAATGGCTAAGAGCAGGAAAATTGAAGAAAGAGACCGAGGGACTAATTCTGGCTGCACAAGACCAAGCCTTAAGGACAAATGCATACAAAGTCAAAATTGAGAAGACAGCAACAGACAGTAAGTGCCGCCTATGCAAAGAAGCTGAAGAAACAGTGGACCACTTGGTAAGCTGTTGCAAGAAGATTGCACAAACTGATTACAAGCAGCGCATGACAAAGTAGCAACAATGGTGCATTGGAAGATCTGCAAAAAATATCATTTGCCTGTAAGCAAAAACTGGTGGGATCATAAAATAGAGAAAGTCATAGAAAATGATAAAATTAAACTGCTCTGGGACTTCAGAATTCAAACAGACAAGCACCTGCAACATAACACCCCAGACTTAACAATTGTCGATAAGAAAGACAAAAAAGTCTGGATAGTGGACGTGGCAGTGCCTGGAGACAGCAGAATAGAAGAGAAAGAACTGGAGAAGATAACAAAATACAAAGACCTACAAATAGAAATAGAAAGACTGTGGCAAAAGCAAGCAAGGGTAGTACCAATAGTAATAGGCTCCTTGGGTGCAATCCCAAAACAACTGGAGCACCACTTGAACACCATTGGCATTGACAAATTTGCTATTAGTCAATTGCAAAAGGCGGCCTTAGTAGGAACTGCTTCCATCCTGCGACGATACCTGTAATACCATCAAACATCCACATCTGCCTATCCCAGGTCCTGGGTAAGGACTCGATAGGTAGACAAAATGTCAAATCCAGTCTGAACATCTGGCTGACTGTGCGATGATCCATAATAATAATAATAATAATAGGAGAAGATAACAAAATACAAAGACCTACAAATAGAAATAGAAAGACTGTGGCAAAAGCAAGCAAGGGTACTACCAATAGTAATAGGTTCCTTGGGTGCAATCCCAAAACAACTGGAGCACCACTTGAATACCATTGGCATTGGCAAATTCGCTATTAGTCAATTGCAAAAGGCAGCCTTACTAGGAACTGCTTCCATCCTGCAACGATATCTGTAATACCATCAAACATTCACATCTGCCTATCCCAGGTCCTGGGTAAGGACTCAATAGGTAGACAAAATGCCAAATCCAGTCTGAACATCTGGCTGACTATGCGATGATCCATAATAATAAAATAATAATAGTGTGACTGGATGGTGGATTTTTTGTAGATTTTGCAAGCTGCCTGGAATACCTATGTGTGAATCAGACAGTTACATAAATTTGTTTAAATAAATAAATAAATAATCCTGTCATTTTGGGAGTGTATTAAACTCAACAAGGCTTAGTTCTGAGTACATATACTTTAGGATTGGGTTGCAGTGTTTAACATAGGTTGGCTTTTACTTGGCAACTGATGTCTAGAGCCATCTGTTGTACTCTCTCTAAATGTAACTGTTCCTGTTTTAAAGTCACCCATTGAATTTTAAAGTCATCTAAGCCATCACTCCATGTTGACACTAGTGTGGATAAAGATGGCAGTTTCCCAGTCATTCCTCCTGAATTTGCCAGTTTCCCTCACTTGTCTCCATTTCTTCTGGATCCTGAAAGCCAATCCATTGTCTTCAGGAATAGGAGGCACCCTGGTCTTCTGCCCATATAGAAGTAATTCAGAACCACTCTGGCTGCTCTGTGTAGAGGGAGAAAAAGACTGTTGTAATAGCCAATGGTCTTGATCCCAGCCTGTCCTATACCTGTGATTTCTGGATGAGTGACAACTTGAAATGTCCAAATATATGCTATAGTATTGAGAAAAAAGCAGTATTTTGAACCTTTTTTGGTAGACATTTTTATGACATACTGTAGTTCCCACATTGTGCCAAACTGTGGATGACCAGAAAAGTATTTCTGGAATAAATCACAATGGCTGGATTCACAAAAAATTGAAGGGAAAATATGGCTTGTTTATAACTTAATGTGTGAAGTGTATTGAGTCAAGTGCACAAACCATGTTGTACAGTTTTATGTATTTTGTCTATTATTCCTATGGAATCTTTTCAGAAGAAAAGTTTTGCTACAACCAGTTGTGACTTATTAAATATACCAATATTAACAAACATGGCTTGTGGAGGTTTTGTATACTGCAAGTATATTTGTATCAACCAGATGAATCGATAAAAGCCTCATTCCCAAACAACATTAAAGCATGCATTCAGGTCATAGATCATAACTAAACCCAAATTAAATGACATATATTAAGCCCAACACCACTTGCAAAATTTAGGAATACTAGGACTGGAGAATTTTTTTTAATTATAGCTACTAACTACTAAGGTTACTGGCTACTAACACTAATTGATAGAAGTACAAAATATGTTCCAGGATTCCCTGTAATAGATAAAGAGGGAGTTAAAACTGGTGACCTAATTAGGAGTTCACAATTAAGTTTGCTCTAATTTGCTAGTCACATATTCCTTCAGGAAGAACCTCCATTCCATGAATTTGAGATACAAATAAAATGATAATGCAACATGTAAATTAAAATCTTTGAAGCTCTATGATCATTTTAAACATCCTTTCCTCATGCTCAGACGTCAGCATCGTCATTTGAAAAGCCTCTTTGGTTTAAAGATATGTATCAACCTCTGGAGGAAATAAGGAAAAAAGACATGATTGATAAATTACATGATGAAGAGTCCTCAGAAGAGGAAAACATATACAATTGGGCTAGCGCAAGGTATTGTTTCTTCTCTTCTCTTCTCTTCTCTTCCCTTCCCCTCCCCTCCCCTCTCCTCTCCTCTCCTCTCCTTTCCTTTCCTTTCCCTTTTCTTTTCTTTTCTTTTTCCCTTTGGCACATATTTCAAGAAAGAAACTGAAAAAAATCTGATGATGATGGTGATGATGCATTCAGTCATGTCCAACTCTTGGTGATTCTATGGGCCAATCCTCTCCATATCTTCTGATCTTGCAATAACTTCTTTGAGTTTTTGTCTGCTCTGGCTAATGTCAGATTTAATGGTGTCCAGCCACATGTTCTTTGATGACCTGACTTCCTTTTACCACTAACTCTTCCAAATACCTTTGCTTTCTCCAGTGAATTCCCCTGCATGACATGGCCAAAGTAAAATTATAGAGGGAATAGTCCCATTTTGTAAGTTAGAGAACATCTTTATTTTTTTCATTACAAAATTCTTGGGACAAATTTGGATTTGTTCAAATTTATATTACTACAATGCACTTTACATGGGGCTGTCCTTGAAGATCACTTCAAGTGCCCTTGAAGGCACTGGTCCAAAAACAGTGGCACGTGCAGTATTGGGTGTTCCTGTGTTTGCCCATGTTACACTTCTGTAGTAGGAGGTGTGCTGTCCCCCAGCTTCCTTCTGGGTGTAATTCAAGGTGCTGGTTGTCACTTTTAAATCCCTAATGGCAGGGACCAGGATATTTGTGGGATCACTTCTCCCTGACAGTATCTGCCCATCCTACCAGATCAGATGGGGTAGGTATGTTCCAGGTCCCTTCCCTGAAGTCTTGCCCTCTAGTGGGAGCTTGGAAGTGTGCTGTTTCCTGTGACTGTGCCTACCTTATGGAATACTCTTCCCCAAATGATTTAGCAAGCCCTCAGTCTTTTAGCCTTTTGGAAGGCTGTCAATACCTGAGTTTTTACCTGGGTGCAGGGATGGAAGAAAGAAGGTCTGAAGCTGATGGTGGTACATCCCAATGGGATGACTGAGAAGACGGATTTTTGTTCTCATTTTAGGGTCTTATAGTTATTGGTTTCATTGTTATGAGCCACCCAGAATTATGGGCAGCCAGGCAAATGTTGAGAAGAATATAATATAATATAATATAATATAATATAATATAATGTAATGTAATGTAATGTAATGTAATATAATATGGTAGGGTAGGGTAGGGTAGGGTAGGGTAGGGTAGGGTAGGGTAGGTAGGGTAGAGTAGAGTAGAGTATAGAGTAGAATGGAATGGAGCGGAGCGGAGTGGAACAGAACAGAACAGAATAGAGCTGGAAGGGACATTGGAAGTCTTCTAGTCCAGCCCCCTGCTGAACCAGGAGACCCTATATCATTTCAGACAAGTGGCTGCCCAGTCTCTTCTTAAAAACCCACAACGTCTGAAAGCAAGCTGTTCCACTGGTTAATTGTCCTCACTGTTAGGAAGTTTCTCCTTAATTCCAGGTTACTTCTCTCCTTGATTAGTTTCCATCCATTATTTCTTTGTCTTGCCTTCTGGTGCTTTGGAAAATAAATTGATCTCCTTCTCTTATGGCAGCCTCTCAAATACTGAAATACTGCTATCATGTCCCCCCTAGTCCTTCTTTTCTCTTCTTCCATTCTCAGATTCTGCAATAGTTCTTCATATGTTTTACTCTCCAGGCCTTTAATCATCTTAGTTGCTTTTCTTTGCAAATAAACTGAATAGAGGTAAAAGTGTGGCATTCTATAGAACTTTTTCTTCCATTGGAAAAAACCACAACAATACTGCAAGAATTAATAATGTGTGAAACTGTAGATGTTGCCTTTGCAGATTGCATAATTTAGTTGTTCTATTCATACACTGCTTCTATAGTTTGCTGGGGATACTAATTTGCTTTTCTGGCTGTGGCTGTTTTCTCTGAACATAGGCAGAGGAAATGTATGTAATATTGTTTTGAAAATAAGTTTGTTTACAACTTTCTTATACAAAAACTGTACATTAAAACTAACCATACAAGTTGCAAAAAAAAATATTACACCTTATTGTTCTACAACAAACTCTGTAATTTCTGCTCTTCTTTACTTATCAGACCTCCAGAAATCCCTGAGCTTATTCCTGTGGAAAAACTGTAAGTAACTACATGTGCTACAAAACAGTTACTAATATTTGTGTGTTAAATTTATATTTACTGACAAAGAATTAAAGGGAGATTACTTTATTAATATTGTTTACCTATTTAAAATTTCAAGCACCACAGCAATTCTTCTGCATTTTTGTTGAAATAAAATTATTAGAAGAGTTCCTTCCAACATAATTGAATTAACTGAGCAGAGTTAAAGGTATTGTAAGAACAGTTATGGTACTTCATTTAATTTTTTAAATTTTGAATTTATTAGGTATTTTATACTATGTATATAGGGGCTTATGACCTGCAATACAGTGCTTTATTTTTCAAATGTAACTATATTTTCCTCATATTTTAGCAATCCAAAAGTGAGGATAAAATTAAATTAACATTTTAGAAACAGCTACAATTGATAGAGATCCAGTTTGATGCCGTGTTTTAGGCACCAGGAGAGAAACCAGGAGATGGTGAGTTCTAGTCTCACCTTAGGCATTATGCCAACTGGTGACCTTGGATCAGTCACTCTCTGGGAAGGAGGGAATGGCAAACCACTTCTGAAATCTTTCCAAGAAAACTGCAGGGACAAGTCCAGCCAGTTCCAGGAGTGAACATCAATATGATGTGTGGACAGATGTGCCTTTAACGAGTAGAAGCTTTCAGGCTCAGCATCAGTCCTAAAGGAACTGCAGTAGAAATCCTTTATATTTGACTTTATCATACCATTAATACTCATGCCATTCAAACCTTAATGTTGATTTTAATAATCATTTTATTAGACGCGCCATATTAAGAATTTGGAATAAATATAAAACAAGGGTTTTTACAAAATTGCCCCTATGGGTGTCCCCCAAGAAACTTTTTTTTAGAAAATAAATGGTGGTGAAGCCGGACTGGTGGATGTATGGTAAAATGGTATCTTTCAATTCTGGAGACCCCATCCTCAAGTCTAGGGAAGAATTTACATATTAACAAATGAAGAAAAGATTTAAGCTAGACAAAAAAGGCCATGGTTTTGAGTTTGTTGATAATGAATTGGAAATCCTACTATGTGGTAGTGATGATCATATAATTTCCAAGGTCTATAAAATGTTATTAAAATTGAATTTGGAAAATGAACATGTAAAACACCATATGATCCAGTGGGCAAGGAATTTTGGGTATAATGTGATGTTTGAACCATGGGAGAATATGTGGATAAAAAGTTTTAAATTGACATTAAATTATAGCCTAAAAGAAAATTTCTACAACATGATGTATCATTGGTATAGTGAAAAACAAAATAGAAACACAAGTTAAGATAGGCAAGAAAATGGTAAGTGAGCACCTGTCCAGCCTAGATGAATTCAAATCGCCAGGACCAGATGGATTACACCCCAAGGTTCTCAAGGAATTGGCAGATGTGATATCGGAACCACTGAACTATATTTTTCAAAGATCCTGGAACACAGGGGAATTACCAGAGGACTGGAAAAGAGCTAATGTAGTTCCCATCCTCAAAAAAGGAAAAAAAATGGATTCAGAAAATTACAGACCTATCAGCCTGACCTCAATACCTGGGAAGATCCTGGAAAAGATAATCAAACAACGAATCAACGAATACCTAGAGGCAAACAAAGTCATTACTAAAAGCCAACATGGGTTTGTCAAAAATAGGTCATGCCAGACAAATCTTATTGCATTCTTTGACCAAGTGACAAAATTAGTGGATCAGAGGAATGCTGTGGACATAATTTACTTGGACTTCAGTAAGGCATATGATAAAGTAGATCACAACCTACTACTTGATAAGATAGAAAAATGTGGGGTAGACAGAATCACCACCAGATGGATCCGTAGCTGGCTGACCGGCCGGACTCAGCAAGTGGTCCTCAATGAAACTGCATCTATATGGAGGGAAGTGTGTAGTGGGGTGCCCCAGGGCTCTGTTCTGGGCCCAGTACTCTTCAACATCTTCATCAACGATTTGGATGAAGGGATAGATGGGGAACTCATCAAATTTGCAGATGACACCAAGCTGGCAGGAATAGCCAACACTCCAGAAGACAGGCTTCAGATACAGAAGGATCTGGACAGACTTGACCACTGGGCACTAACTAACAAAATGAAATTCAATGGTGAAAAAAGCAAGGTTCTACATTTAGGCAAGAAAAACCAAATGCACAAGTACAGCATAGGTGGCACCATGCTCAGTAGTAGTAACTGTGAGAGGGACCTCGGAGTCCTAGTAGACAATCACTTAAATATGAGCCAGCAGTGTGCTACAGCTGCCAAAAAGGCCAACACAGTGCTAGGCTGCATTAACAGAGGGATAGAATCAAGATCACGTGAAGTATTAATACCACTCTTCAATGCCTTGGTAAGGCCACACTTGGAATACTGCATCCAGTTTTGGTCACCACGATGTAAAAAAGATGTTGAGACTCTAGAAAGAGTACAGAGACGAGCAACAAAGATGATTAGGGGACTGGAGGCTAAAACATATAAGGAACGGTTGCTAGAATTGGGTATGTCTAGTTTAACGAAGAGAAGGACACGGGGGGACATGATAGCAGTATTCCAATATCTCAGGGGCTGCCATAAAGAAGAGGGAATTAAGCTATTTTCCAAAGCACCTCAAGGCAGGACAAGAAGCAACGGGTGGAAACTAATCAAGGAGAGAAGCAACCTAGAACTAAGGAGAAACTTCCTGACAGTGAGAACAATTAATCAGCAGAACAGCCTGCCTCCAGAAGCAGTAAATGCTCCAACACTGGAAGTTTTTAAGAAGAGACTGGACAGCCATTTGTCCGAAATGGTGTAGGGTTTCCTGCCTGAGCAGGGGGTTGGACTAGATGACCTCCAAGGTCCCTTCCAACTTTACTACTATTACTATTACTAGTTAAGTTATCTAGAATGTATAAAAGTATTTAAAATGAATGTTGGAAATGAAATATAAAGAAGGGACTTTTTATCATTTATGGTGGACATGTGATAAGGCAAAGAATATTGGAGTAGTATTCATATATTAATGAAGAAAATTCTTAAAGTGAACATAAAGATTAAACCAGAAACTTTCCTTCTGGGCCTAATGGAAAGAGAAGTGGGAAAAAAATTTGGAACTCTGATTTTATATATAGTGACTGTTATGTCAGGCACAGGCTGCAGTGATTGGCCCAGGCAGACCACAGGGATGCCCGGGACAAGAAAGGCTGCTCCCAGCCTTGCCTGCATGCGCAAGGCAGGAAAAGATCCCTTGCAATGATTGGCCAGCAGGGTACTGTGCAGGGGGGCTATAAAAGGGGGCTGCACCATTTTGCAATCTGTTCTGTTGGTGTTTGCAATAAAGAAGGACTGTGTGACCATGCTTCGTCTCAATGCCTCTTCTTCAAGAACAGAACATTGGCGATGAAGGTGGGATGCCTGCAGGGGAAACGAAGTAAGAAGCCAGGCTGACTCACCACAGGAGGCTTACAGCTCGGAGGAGGGGCGTCCAGTGATTGCGACTCGGCCTGCCAGCACAGAAATGCTGGAGGTGAGCTCAGCGAAGGGGGGCCCTTCTCAAACCCTGCAGCAAGAGGTGTGGACGAAGTTCCTGGGCTGCAACGATGGCGAAGATAGACCGGCTGTCAGAGTTTGACACAGTTCAGAACAATGGAGCTCGTACGTGACCCAGGTGGACAACTACCTCCAGCTGGATCAAATTCGCGAAGAAGACCTCAAAGCTGCCACGTTGCTGTGTGTGGGGGGAAAAGAGACCTTCGATATTGAAGAGAATCTGGTCGCCCCAGCACCACTGGAATCAATCACCTACACAGACTTGAAGAGGATGCTTCAAGAGCATTTCGAACCCAAGCTCTCAGTGATTGCTTGGTGACACATGTTCGAGCAGAGGGACCAGAGGCCTGGTGAGTCTGCTGCAGAATTTGTTGCAGCCTTGCAACAAGCAGCTAGGCTCTGCAAATTCAAAGACTTGGAAGAGAGACTGAGAGATTGGCTGGTCTGTGGCCTCGGAAGCCGGGAGTTGCAGCAGAAGCTCTTCGTGAAGGAAGGCCTCACATTCCAAGATGCCCTGAGGGAAGTTTCAGCCGAAGAAGCAGCAGGCAGAACTGTGAAGGCCTTTCGGCTTGCCAAGCCCCCTCAAGTTCTAGCCACCATCCATCAAGAGGTCGCTCACAAAGAATCCGAACAGGATCCAGAATCAGAAGTGGACTGGCTGCATCAGGCTCTGGAGAGAAGGCCTCACAGAGGGAAGGCCCAGCCAGCATCATCCCCTAGGTGCATCGGGTGTGGAGGCCGCCATTGCCACACAGACTGTCATTTCCGCTCTGCCATCTGCAGGGCCTATGGTAGGCAAGGCCAAATTGCCTCAGTCTGTTTGGGTCACCAGAAGGAATGTTACCCAGAAGAAAGGTACCAGAGTCCCCAGCCAGGTGGGCTTCTGTGCAAAATGTAGGAGCGTTTTTAGAACGGGGGTCCACAGGCCACTTAGGAAGAAGCTTTACATCAACGTGAAGTTGCAAGGGGTCCCCTTGTTGATGGAGATGGACACAGGGTCCGCTCTATCGATCATCTCCCTAGACACTTTTAACAAGGTCTGCAGCAGAAGCGGCCTACGAGTTAAACTCAGGCCGTCAAACCTCATCCTCACAGATTTCCAAAATTCCAGAGTCAACGTGAGGGGGGAGGCCATGCTCAAGATGCAGCGTAGGAATTTTGAGGGGCTACTACATGTAGTTGTGGTTGGAGAGTGCACGAGTCTGATTGGACTCGATTGGTTTGAGGCCCTTGGGATTCAGGTGACTGGAATAAACAGAGTGCAAACAATAGGCCTGACAGGGGTCTGCAAGGAGTTTGCATATGTGTTTAGTCCAGAACTTGGCTCCTACAAAGACCCTCCTATTTCTCTGAGGCTAGACCCAGCTATAGCCCCCATTAGAATCAAGCCACACAGGGTGCCCTTTGCCCTAAATGGTAAAATAGATACAGAGCTGGATAAACTGATTCAGTAGGGTATCTTAGAACCTGTAGACAGCAGTCCATGGGAAACCCTCATAGTTACCCCACTGAAGGCCAATGGTGAAGTCCGAATCTGTGCAGACTACAAGTGCATGCTTAACAAAGCGCTACAGCAGCATTCATACCTGGTACCTGTGGTCAGCCACATTCTAGCCTCCCTCAAGGGGGGGGGCAGATCTTTGCTAAGCTTGACCTGGCTCAGGCCTATCAACAATTGCCAGTTGATGAGGCAACGGCCGAGGCCCAAACTATAGTGACTCATAGGGAGCATTCAAGGTAAAAAGATTGCAATTTGGAGTAAACGTGACCCTTGGCATTTTCCAGAGTGTAATGGAGCGAACGCTCCGAAATATCCCTGGTGTTTGCCCATACTTTGATGATGTCCTCATCACTGGGGACTCAGCTGACAATTTAGCCGAAAGGCTGAGAGCCGTTTTGCTACGTTTCCGCCAAGCAGGGCAGAAGCTTAAGCAAGACGCTTAAGATTGGGGGTTAGCTCCACTGAGTTTCTAGGATTCCACATTGATCCTCAGGGCATCCACCCTGCTGAATCCAAGCCGCAAGCAATTCAGCAGGCCCCAAGTCCCAAATCCAAGGGTGAACTTCAGGCCTTTCTGGGACTGTTAAACTTCTACCATGCATTCCTTCCCCACAAGGCTGCAGTGGCTGAGCCGTTACACCAGCTCAGTGGACACAAGTACATGAAAAAAGTTTCAAAGAGGTCAAGGCCTTACTCTCTTCAAATGCGGTCCTAGCGCATTTTAATGAGAAATAGCCTGTGATGCAGCCCCTTATGGGATTGGGGCTCTGTTAAGCCACTTGAAGGCTGATGGGATGAAAGTGCCAATAGCATACTACTCTAGAACCCTATCATCAGCTGAACGCAATTATGCACAGATAGATAGGGAAGCCTTAGCCATAGTGGCTGGCATAAAGAAATTCCATGACTTCGTATACGGCCGCCATTTCACAGTCTTTACAGACCATACGCCACTGCTGGGGTTGTTCACAAACCCCACACATAATATCCCCACGAAAGCTGAGGTGGTCCATCTTCCTGTCTGCACATGACCATACACTGGTTCACAAGTCAGGCAAAGACATGGGCCACGCAGATGGCCTCAGCAGGTTGCCATTAAAGCAGGTAGAGGCAGATCCAGCACCTGCCAACCGCATCCTGTCCATTCAGGACTTGCCCGAATCTCCCCTCAATGCTAGGGATGTGGCTGCAGAAACAGCCACCGATCACACGCTAACACGTGTGCTGACATGGGTGTTGTCTGGGTGATCTGACACATGTCCAGGCTCAGAATTCCAGAGCTTCTGGCAGAGGAAGTGCAAGTTTTCCACTTTCAAGGGGTGTGTTTTATGGGGTAGCCGGGTGGTAATCCCAACCTCATTGAGGACTAGAGTCCTGCAGTCTCTGCATGAGGGACATCCGGGAATAGTCTGGATGAAGGTGTTAGCGCGCAGCCATCTTTAGTGGCCTGGGCTCGATAAAGACATTGAGGCCCAGGTCCACGGGTGCACTGTTTGTCAACAGTCAAGGCCTGAGATGCCCCAGTGCCCAGTTCATAGGTGGGAGGAGACTCATACCCCTTGGTTGAGGGTCCATATTGACTACCTGGCCCCTTTCAGGGGCAATTCTTCTTACTCCTCGTGGACAGCCATTCCAAGTGGCTAGAGGTCATGCTTGTCTCCTCCACTACTACTGCTAGGACCATCCAGGTGCTGAGAGGGATCTTCACCTCACATGGACTTCCAGATGTCCTTGTCTCCAACAATGGGCCCCAATTCACCTCATTTGAGTTTAAGGCTTTCCTCCAGGCCAACATGATCCGGCATGCCATATCTGCACCATTCCATCCAGTTTCTAATGGCCAGGCTGAACGGATGGTGTGCACAACCAAGGATGCCTTAAAAAGGATCACTCACGGAAACTGGCATCACAGGTTGGCAGACTTTCTTCTTTGCCACCGCACCACATGATGCACAGCTACTGGGAAGAGACCAGCAGAACTCCGCTGGGGTTGCTGCCTCATCACTAAACTGGACAAGTTGCACCCAGACCGGGTGGCTTCACAGGTGTCACAGCTGCAGGCACCTAGGAGACTACAGGTGGGCGATCCAGTCTGGGCAAGGAACTATGGACCTGGAGATCTCTGAGTCACAGCAGTGGTATGCAATATCTCTGGGCTGCTGTCATACGAAGTGGCCTTGGACGATAGTCGCGTGATTCAACATCACATTGACTAACTGGAGGCTTGGTGCTGGCGCTGGAGGCTTCCCAGCAACTCTTCCACTCCTGGCTCTGCTCTCGGTGGGGGGGGGAAGAGGACCACAATTACGATTGTGGACCACGGTCTCTCCGACATCCCCAGGCTTCAGCTATCGCTCCAAACAGGGAGTCCGCAGAAAGGGGGCTTGCCATTGGAGGCAGCTCCTGACTCTGGCACCTCCGGCACATACACAGGGGCCATGGGTTATTGGGGCACATCGGCCACTCAGGCCACTCCACCTGCTGGTCTTGGGCTCGAGGGACAGTGCTCCCAAGAGGGGTCCATTGTGGACTTGGGGAATTCCACCCCACCACTGGACCTGGGGAATTCCAGCCCCCCAAGGAACTCTGGCTTGGATTTAGTGGATCCAGCCAGTCAGCAGCTGGGTGGGTCACCTGGGTGACGGCAACAAAGTCCTTGTTTGCCTAGCCTGGCAGGCGAGCTGGCAGGCCAGGCACACACACTGGCCATGAGAAGATCAGAGCGGACCAGAGGTCCTCCCAAATACTTACAAGACTATGTACTGTCAGTTCATGGGCAGGCCTAGTAGTCTGGGTTAAGTAAAGGTAGCTCAAAAGGAGTGGGGAGTATGGCTGTAGCAAGATTGTAGTGTTGTGTATATATATGCAACGTAAGCAATGCGATGGAGTGTTGGAGTATTTAAAATAATCAGTGTGCCTTATTATTTTATCCAAGGGGGGAGGGGTGTTATGTCCTGGGCCGGCAGGCGCAGGCTGCAGCAATTGGCCCGGGCAGACCACGGGGATGCCCAGGACAAGAAAGGATGCTCCCAGCCTTGTGTGTGTGCGCAAGGCAGGAAAAGATCCCTTGCAATGATTGGCCAGCAGGGTATTGTGCGGGGGGCTATAAAAGGGGGCCGCAACATTTTGCAATTTGTTCTGTTGGTGTTTGCAATAAAGAAGGACTGTGTGACCGTGCTTCGCCTCAATGCCTCTTCTTTGAGAACAGAACAGTGATGGCAGCAAGTTTGCTCTATGCACAAAAGTGGAAGGATGCTTCAATTCCCACCATGGACGAATGATTACAAAAGCTGATGGAATTAGCAGAGATGGCCAAATTGACTGTGCTGATAAAAGAAAAGAACATAAGTACTTTTGTTTCTGCTTGGAATCTGCTTCTGGACATTGTGCTTAAGGTGGAAATGTAAAAAGTTGAGATTTGATTTTAATTTCTGATTTTACTGCATCAGAGAGAATTGGAAGTCAATGCCTTTTGTTTCTTTCCCCCACTTTTCTTCACACCTTTTTTGTTTTCCCTTTTTCTTCTTTTGTCCCCTACTATTTGCTTTTGTATTTTCATATTTTTTATTATAAATGAATAAAACTAATAAAAAAGAAGTCCTTTATGTTTGAATCTGCAACAAAAACAAAACAAAAAAGACCCTATTTTGGTCAGTGACAAATACAGATTTCATATGGGCCAAATTGGTTTATTTTATTGCATCTTCTCCTTTAGAATTGTTAACAGTCTCTCGAGATATAGAAGAGACATGACTATTTTTCAACTAATCAGCTTCTGGTACCAATGCTAGAGAAATATTTGTTTATGTTTTTATTTGTTAGACATGTGTTTTATCATTTTTTTTCTGTGGACTCAAGGTAGCATATAGGAGAATCCCCCTCATTTTATCCCAACAGCAACAATCCTGTGAGATAAGTTTATCCCAGGAAGTGACTGGCTCCAAATCAGAGGATTCCATGACATTTGTGGAGATTTGAACTTGGGTCTCCCCACACCTGGTCCAACAGTTTAACCCAGTTATCCTTTAATTCCCACTTTCAGCTATGAATTAACTAGCTGAAACAATGAGAATATATAAAAGAAATAAATGTATATAAGAATTAAAAGCTTGAAAAAAAGAATCAAGAGTCTGCTTGGGCATTTTGGGAAAGCTGGACTTGAGATGCAATGAAGATAAGGCCCTGGGTACACACAAGCATTCTCTAATATGCAGGCAACACCTGGGTTTTGCAACAAAGCGAACTAGCAACTATACGATTGTTGCTTCCTTTAGAGAAAATGTGAAATACTGGGTTCACACAAGGAAACAAAAGATTACAACTTTGATCTTTATTAACCCATTTAAACTTGGATTAATCTCTGTTTCTATTTTGTCTTCCTAGGGAGCTAATGCCACCACCAGCACCAGCAGCTGCTGAACCTCCAGCCAAGGCTCCATCTGAACCTCCAGCTCCGGCTCCAGCTCCGGCTCCGGCTCCAGCTCCAGCTCCAGCTCCGGAGCCTATTAAAAAGGCCAGCTCAAAGAAATTGTGAGTAGCTGTAGAGTTATACATGTGGGATCTTATTTATTTAATTGAAGGTTGATCCACCCTTAGATTCTAATTCATTGAATTTATGAAAGAGCCCACAGTGGCGCAGTGGTTAGAATGTAGTATTGCAGGCTAACTCACTGCTTACTGCCTGACTTTAGCCTGTCTCAAGATTGACTCAGCCTTCATCCTGCCAATGTTGGTAAAATGAGGACTCAGATTGTTGGGGGAATATATTGACTCTATAAACCGCTTAGAGAGAGTTGTAAAGTATTGTATGTAAGTTTTTGTGCAATTGCTATTGAATTTATAAATCATATTTATATAAAATGGTTGTGCTTCATAGTTGCTAGACAAAGAGAGGTCTCTCGAAATTGCTAGCAGTATCTAAAGGCAAGCAAATTGGGATGGAGCAATATTTTGTTTAATTTGTCCAGGAGAAAAAAAAATTCTGCAATAGATTGGAGCTCATGGTAGCCATGTTCCAGAGGGCAATTTGTCTTTAGCAGGGTTTCTCAGTCACGGGGCCTTTAAGATGTCTGGGTTTCAACTCCCAGAATTTCCTAGCCAGCCATGCTTAAGATTAATATCTTAAAGATGCTGAGATTGAGAAAAACTAGGTTAAAACTTCCTTCCATTTTAAGAAATTTGAAAACAAATGAGCCATCATCCTTCCCATCCTGGTAGGGAGACAAGCTTAGCTGCAGCAGACTTCTTTTTAACTTCTGCTCTGTTAAAATGTCTTTCTGTTCTTTGTCAGGTCTGAAAAAGAGTCTCCCATGAGTGAAATTTTTCCAAACACTGAGTGAGTAGTACAGTCTGTCAAGGCTGTTCTTTAACTTAGAACTTTTTTCTTCCAAGATATTTCCTTGGAAGAAGACAATCTTAACTGCACCAGAGTTCTTTTTAACTTCTGTTCTGCTAAAATGTTTGTCTGTTCTTTGTCAGATCTGAAAAAGAGACTCCCATCAGCGAAACTCCTCCGAAGACAGAGTGAGTAGCATTTCTTTAAAACAACATCTAATATAAACTATTACTACTGCAGTTTCGTTGTTATTAAAATTAACAAAAAGAAATTATAGCCCAACATACCAAAAAAACTACTGTAAAAGACGATCTAGAAATAAAAATTAAAATAAGCAAGAAAATGGTTAGAGAACACCTATCTGACCTCAAAGAATATAAATCACTGGGACCCAACAGATTGCATCCCAGAGTTCTGAAGGAGCTGGCAGATGTTATCTCAGAACCATTGCACCATATCTTTCCAAAATTAAGATTAGGTAAGACCTAGCTCAAAAACAGTAACTGTGAGAGGGGCCTTGGAGTCCTAGTGGATGATCACTTGAATATGAGCCAGCAGTATGCAGCTGCAGCCAAAAAAGCTAACACAATCCTGGGTTATATAAACAGAGGCATAGAATCAAGATTACGCAAAGTATTAGTACCACATTATAAAACCCTAGTAAGACCAGACCTGGAATACTGCAATCAATTTTAGTCACCATACTACAAAAAAGATGTTGAGACTTTGGAAAAAGTTCAGAGAAGAGCAACTAAAATGAACAAAGGTCTAGAGATTAAAATATATGAAGAATGGCTGCCTGATTTGGGTTTGGCTAAAAAAAGAAAGTAATAGGGGTGACATAATAGCAGTATTCCAGTATTTGAGGGGCTGCCACAAAGAAGAGGGGGTCAATTTATTCTCCAAAGCATCAGAGGGCAAGACAAGAAACAATGGCTGGAAACTGATCAAAGAGAGAAGCAACCTGGAATTAAGGAGAAACTTCCTAACAGTGAGGACAATTAACCAATGAAACAGCTTGCCTTCAGAAATCATGGGTGCTCTATCACTGGAGGTTTTTTAAGAGGTTTTTTTGTCTGAGATAATATAGGTTCTGCTGCTTGAGCAGGGGGCTGGACTAGAAGACCACCAAGGTCCCTTCCAGCTCTATTATATTCTATCTTTAACTACACACCCAAAACTCTTTGCATATACAAACTAAATATAAAATACACTGCCTACAGAATGTTAATATCCTAATTTGTCTTGTACTGTAGTAGTGTAAAATGCAAAAAAATAAAGGGTTCATTTTTAGTAGCTGAACATATTTCAGATTCTAAGAGCATTCTGAGTTAAATTCTTATTGGGGGAAGCAGAACTAAGAAGCAGAGGATGCCTCCTAGTACTAGCACTTGCTAATCTGGTTGAAAATATAAGGCAAAAATCTGCATTTTTTTTCAGACAGTCCTATTTCACTAACCCAAATAAGAGTTCCTAGCAGATGCAAAAATCCTCTCACTCTCACTCTCTTTAGTTGTAAGGAAATTGAGTTAATGACACTACAAAATTTCTTTGCTTGCTGGCACAATGGAGAATGGGAGAAGTGCCTTTTGATGCTGTGCACAAAAGAGGATTGTCCTCTTCTGCCACAAATTCATTTACCTGCAAAGTATGTTCCAACTTGACTGGGGCTTGGATAAGAAGGCTTAAATGTGAAGTTGACTTTCCTCCAAGCCCAACAGAAGAGACCACACCGTGAGATTAAAGAGCATCTTTTTGCTGATGTCCCGTTCATAAAATCCTCAATGGCTGCTGTTGGAGAGACAAAGAAAAGCTAGTCTAAAGGCAGTAGTATTTGAAATGAAAGGACTGAAATGATAGATCCAGTGCATGGAGAATCCATAGAAAAAGCAAGCTTACATGCAAGCATCAACTGATGTAAGGGCTACTGCAACCCATGCAGTTCTTGGGGCCTCTAGAGAGACCCGTGTTACATCACTGCTCTGTGAGCTGCACTGGTTGCTGGTTTACTTGCGGATGCAATTCAGAGTGTTAGTTATTACCCTTAAAGACCTGCATGGCATAGATCCAGTTTACTTGAGGAACAATCTCACCCCATTGTGGCTAGCCGACCCCACCCAGCCAGCAGAGGAGACAACCTGCAGGCCCCGCCAGCCAAGGAATTTGGGCTAGCAGAGTCCAGGAGAAGGACCATCTCTGCTGTGGCTCCTCCCCTTTGGACGGTCTTAGCTCCTGAGGTGAGATCAGTTTCCACCCTTCTGACCTTCCATATGGGCCTGAAGACCTGGCTCTGGTAGATGACTGGGGGCCCCAAGAGGAGATCATGACACTGGAGGTGGTTGATGTATTGAGAGAGAACCCCATATCTCTCCCACTGTACATCCTGCTCCTTCTCTTCCCGACTTTTATCTTTTAGTTATCTTTCCTTTATTAACTTTGTCTTTGATTATAACCATTTTTATCATCTTAGAAATATTTATCTTAAATAGTTTTAATGCTTTCAATGCTGTAAGTATCCCAGGATCGCTTTGAAACAAGACAGATGGCAATTATATCAAATAAATAAACAAATAAATGACTTGGCCAAGCTTGCCAGGGAATGAAGAAATATTCAGCTGCTGTCAGAGCAATGCTTAAATTCTGCTTTTAATTTTTTATCAGCACTTCAGAAACAGAAGAAGAAGGAACTTCAAAGAAAACGTAAGTAGCTGCAGTGTGCAAATCAGAATTATTTCTCTTTAAGAATTTTTGAAGTGGTTCAGAATGCATCTGCTGATACACATTTATAGGATACCAAATGTGTAAAATATCTCATAAGCTGCTTATTTCATTGTGCAAGAGTGGAAAGAAGTTCTAGTAGGAGATAGGAAAAGGAAGGGAAAAAACTAGAAAAGTGCAAAAGCCACCTTTGTAGTAAAAGATTGGCAATTTAGGAAAGAGCAGACAACATTTTTGACCACATCAAATGGATGGCTTTAAAGTTTGTGACAGAAATTAAGGAACTAAGATAATATTTTTGTTTTCTTGAAGTTAGATCATAGCTCTTAATGTCCTTGGTTAAGGACCAGAATGATGGGAACTATAATCCAGTTCATGTAAGGGTTGTGAATGGAGAAAGTTCCATACTTCCTTCATAATATCTGTATTTATCTTAGTTGAAGGTGATTCTTTTTATGCTTTACTCCAACAGTTTTATTTCAAAAGATTTTCAGTTCTACTATTTAAAGGCAGTTTTTATCTTTTCCAGTTCTGGAGTATCAAACATCTTTTACAAAAAGCAGCAGATGCTCTTTTTGTATATTTCTGTTGCATACACATGGATGTAATTTCCTATCATTTTTCTTTCTCTCTGAATCTAACAGATTGCGGGCTTTTTCAGGTTTTGCTTTTGCATTTGTGTTTAAATTGGATCCCATATTTACTCTTTGAAGAACAGTCAGAAAACTCACAGTAAGCCTATGGACAAATGGCTCCTTTTAGAAATGGAAGTGCTTGGTAAATTAATAAAGCCCTCTGCTTTGTTGTTGTTAATTGCGAAGTCGTGTCTGACCCATCGCGACCCCATGGACAATGTTCCTCCAGGTCTTCCTGTCCTCTACCATCTTCTGGAGTCCATTTAAGTTCACACCTACTGCTTCAGTGACTCCATCCAGACATCTCATTCTCTGTCGTCCCCTTCTTCTATTGCCCTCAATCTTTCCCAGCATTAGGCCCTTCTCCAGTGAGTCCTTCCTTCTCATTAGGTGGCCAAAGTATTTGAGTTTCAACTTCAGGATCTGGCCTTCTAAAGAGCAGTCGGGGTTGATCTCTTCTAGGACTGACCGGTTTGAACGCCTTGCAGTCCAAGGGACTCGCAGGAGTCTTCTCCAGCACCATAGTTCAAAGGCCTCAGTTCTTTGGCGCTCAGCCTTTCTTATGGTCCAACTTTCACAGCCATACATTGCAACTGGGAAAACCATGGCCTGGACTATACGCACTTTTGTTGGCAGGGTGATGTCTCTGCTTTTTAGTATGCTGTCTAGATTTGCCATAGCTTTCCTCCCCAGGAGCAAGCGTCTTTTAATTTCTTGGCTGCAGTCCCCATCTGAGGTGATCTTGGAGCCCAGAAAAATAAAATCTGTCACTACCTCCATTTCTTCCCCATCTATTTGCCAGGAATTGAGAGGGCCGGATGCCATGATTTTGGTTTTCTTAATGTTGAGTTTCAAGCCAACTTTTGCACTCTCCTTCTTCACCCGCATCAAGAGGCTCTTTAGTTCCTCTTCACTTTCTGCCATTAGAGTGGTATCATCTGCATATCTTAGGTTGTTGATATTTCTCCCGGCAATCTTAATTCCAACTTTTGTTTCATCTAGCCCTGCCTTTCTCATGATGTGCTCTGCATATAAGTTAAATAGGCAGGGCGACAGTATACAGCCTTGCCGGACTCCTTTTCCAATTTTGAACCAATCAGTGGTTCCGTGGCCAGTTCTCACTGTTGCTTCTTGACCCGCATATAGGTTTCTCAAGAGACAAATGAGATGGTCTGGTACTCCCATCTCTTTAAGAACTTGCCACAATTTGTTGTGATCCACACAATCAAAGGCTTTGCATAGTCAATGAAGCAGAAGTAGATGTTTTTCTGGAACTCCCTAGCTTTCTCCATGATCCAGCGTATGTTGGCAATTTGATCTCTAGTTCCTCTGCCTCTTCGAAATCCTGCCTGTACTTCTGGTAGTTCTCGATCCACATACTGCTGGAGTCTAGCTTGTAGGATTTTAAGCATAACTTTACTAGCATGTGAAATGAGTGCAATGGTGCGATAGTTTGAACATTCTTTGGCATTGCCTTTCTTTGGAATTGGAATGTAAACTGACCTTTTCCAATCCTGTGGCCACTGTTGAGTTTTCCAAATTTGCTGGCAAATTGAGTGTAGCACTTTTACTGCATCGTCTTTTAAGATTTTGAATAGCTCAGCTGGAATACTGTCACCTCCACTAGCTTTGTTGTTGCTCAGATTTTCTAAGGCCCATTTCACTTCACATTCTAGGATGTCTGGTTCGAGGTCAGTGACCATCTCATTGTGGTTATCTGGGATGTTAAGCTCATTCTTGTATAGTTCTTCTGTGTAGTTTTGCCATCTCTTCTTAATCTCTTCTGCCTCTGTTAGGTCCTGCCATTTTGGTCCTTTATCATGCCCATCTTTGCATGAA